TAACTAAATATTTCTTTACAGTAGTGAGAGGCAAGGGGACTCACTAATAATCAAGCATCCCGAACAGTTAGAGGCAAGGGGACTCACTGATAATCAAGCACCCCGAACAGTGAGAGGCAAGGGGACTCACTCATAATCAAGCACCCCGAGCAGTGAGAGGCAAGGGGACTCACGGTAAAAAAAGCACCCCAAAGGAAACAGAACTTACTACGTCCACGTCGTTGTTTCTGGGTAACGCTAAAAGTAAGGACAACCTTTTGAAGGTCAATATTTTCAAGGTCGTTGTCACATTGGGGTTGAATATTCCTCATAAAAGTACATTAACGACAATTATTCTATGTATTAGAAAATGCAATCAAATAACAACCACAGGATGTTTTAACATTTGACCTCGAAATGACTTTCTAAGGGTCATAAAAAAAATTTCCAAATACCGTTTCCGAAGTAAAATTTTCCGCTCTTTCCGAATCCGGTGTCAAAAATTGGGGTTCCCATTTAACAAAATCATATTGACCTTCAAATGACCTTCAAAGTTAAGTTCAAGGTCAAAACTAATTGCACAGACAGATGGCCCCCTTCGATCTGGACAACTTTTGTCTGAACCGTTTTTCCCTATCTGGCTTACGTTCCGAGAAATTCGGGTGCGGCGATTAAAACGGGCCACCTTGTATGTCAAATGGACGATGTGTGCACATCAAATGAGCATCTTACAACTTTTATTTTGTCATTTTGAAAATATTTAATAACATATAAAATTGACACTAATTATGAATAATGACACAAGATATTGTTAGTAATCTTTTTATTTCATTTTAATTGTTTTATATATTATTATGAATTAAATGTCTAGTGACTAGAAAGTAGCGAGAAACTCCTTAAATAACATATATTCTTTATAATGATAAAAAAATTATAAAAATTGCAGAGAAAATGGCTTAATGTATCGATATTTCATTATATATACTATGATTATATGTGATACAAAAAATGTATTTAATATAATTATTTATTAAAGTGCGCGCCGATATTTCGTTAGTCTTGAAACACGGTCTCTAAATTAAAACCAGAGTAAGAATTCATAAATTAAATTGACAAGCAATTTATTAATTTGATGCTAATCAACAATTCATATAAAATTACACAAATATTAAGCACCATATACATACAGGGTGTTTCGAAAGTTTTAGCCAATCGCTTTTGTATAGATAGAACGGACTAAACTGAGTCGAAAAGTCCTCTATTATTTTGCCATTTTCGTAATAGTTAACAAGATATTACTAAAAATTGCCAAATATTGGTCTTGAATAATTTTTTACTCAAATACTATCAACTTTACAGAAAAACTGCAAGAGACAAAAATTATTTATTTTCTTCTCATAGAACTCTAAGAATTTTTTCTGAATTTTTTATCAATTTTTTAGTATTGCATTTTCTTATTTTTACCAACATGAGAAAATACGGTATTAAAAAATTCTAAAAAAATGCAGAACTTTATGAAAAAAAATTAATGATTTTTGTCTCTTGCAGTTTTTCTATAAAATTGATAGTATTTGAGTAAAAAATTATTCGAAACCAATATTTAGTAATTAATATCTTGTTAATTATTGCGAAAATTGCAAAATAGTAGAGGATTTTCGACTCAGTTTAGTCCGCTCTATCTATCCAAAAGCGATTGGCAAAAACTTTCAGGACACCCTGTATATATAAGTAAAGTATTTTGAATGTTTTGTAGGATCTCAGGATGTTATTGATTTTATTATTAAAAAACTCATAAAACTAAATTCAAAAACGACTAGTATTGGGAAGCATGTAAAACTCATAGCACGGAAAGTGCCACAAAATATGGCACAATCGGAACAAAAGCAAATTATAGATGTATTTCAAGATCTGCCTTTAAAAAGTATGAATGATCTTGAATTAATGGAACGAAAGCTGAGCAGTAATGTACTTTATCAAAATAAAATGGTAAGAGTACAATAAATATTTTAATTTTGCAAAGTCTATAAAAAAGGACAAAAATGTAGAATCTGATAAGTATTTTTTATAAAAAA